ATGTAATTATGTAATTATGTAATTATGTAATTATGTAATTATGTATATTATGTAATTATGTAATTATGAACAACTTTGCTCCCGAATATCTACAAAGTCTTTTCTCTCAGCGTCACTCTGTGTACGACATAAGAAACTCTGAGGGAAGGCTGGCCTTGTCCAAACCAAACACCAATTATTTGAAACGGAGCTTCTCTTACAGAGGGACCATATTATGGAATAAATTGCCCAAAAGTTAAAAAATGCTTCATCCATTAACTATTTTAGGCGAAACCTTAACGTAGTCGATATGTAGGATTCCCACACGGCAATCATGTAAAGCAGTGAATTAATCTTAGTTTTTATTATGTAACTGATGATTTTCCGTGTTTAAATAAAGATTTACATAAGATACAATGAATATATGAAGTTCATATATTTTGAACTGCGGTATTAGATACGTATGATACTGCGAGGATCGTCCATCATACGTAAAGATTTACATACATACATACAAATAGTGTATTTGCTTGTAAGGTGTGATGGGTACTTTTGCTAAATGGAAACTTGTGGTTTAAACTTCTTTAAGTTCTACAACAAGAGAAACAATGCGTTCGCTCTGGCCCACTCGAAGTAGCTGGTAGAAAAAGTGATATACCTAGGAACCACACATGAAATATTCAGAACAATCGATGGAGTTTTTAACCCCTTTCCCATCCCATTCTTCCTTCAAAACGCAGCCTTTCATTGCAGTTCGTAACGCCAAAATTTAAATCAACTGCTAAGTTATCTAGCCACCATTTTCTTCAGGTCATCATGGAAGGCTTCATAAGGCCTGACGGACTTGACTTCCATGTGTATACAGTCTCCCATTTGCTTCATCATAGGCAGGTCAAACGAAATACGATCCACCTCGTACGGACTCTCCACGCATAACAGGATGTACACCTGCAACGCCAAAATGTTCATAAGTTTCAAGAGACATGCGCAGACTATTATAGTCTTACCTCGAAGGCCCTTGGGAAAAACTGAACACTTAAACCGCCTAGCCGACCACGAGGTTCCTTTAGCTCATTTGTAGAGCATTCGAAGTACTAACATGTGTAATACTAGCCAGTGTCATTCACTAAAAGCATCTTTCAACTGAACACTAAGCGTACAATTTTAACCATTTTAGCAAGACCCTTTAGAGCCCTAGTATCACATCGATCGTTGGCAGAAACAACCAAGTTAATCTCAATTTGTGGAGAAAGACTTGCCAATTATAAGTGAATCAAGGGTGCGAATGTCATTACTGTCTTATCCGAATATATTTGCTGGAATGAACAAATCAATTTAGCGGCCAGTTAATTCAAATTTTATTTCGACGAACCAACCAGGGAACTATATCCCTCTATCGACCTCGAACAGTGACAATGAAACAAGGCTGGAGACTGGAAACGAGCCGTAATGTCGCTTTTTCCTGTGAGTGTTTCGTAGGAAGTTGAAATTCGCATGGAATTTTGATTTCCTTAGGACCTCCTGCTATTTTCAAAACACGCCTTGGTCTCAAAAGTAATCTGTTGTTTTGGCCGTTTTCTTTTATGAAAGAACTAGATGCATAATGAGGTGTGGGGTTGTATGGAAACTTTGCCTACCTTTCTTTCCCCAACTACTTTCCACAGGTCAACCACTTTTCCGCTTTTCTTTCCTCCTAACGCAGCTTTGGCCTCCTGTAACCAAAAGGCCAACAACTCGTCTTGCGTCTTACCTGCATCAATGAAATAAAAACCAGAGAAATATAAAACTCTCAGAAAATACTTTCACCTAATGAACTACCTCCGAAGGATTCTGTTAAGAAAGCGCTCCGATAATCTACCAGCTAGTTAGCCACAGAGAACTAGCTGCTAAGTTCTTGTAGGCCATTAAAAGGTTTAGCATTTGCCGGCATAAAGGCAGCTGGATTAGAAAACAAAAGTGCCTACGGTTTTCCTAGAAGGAAGACAGTATTTTGACGACGGAAGTCAACCTTGAATTAAGCGGTGTAATGAGATGAAGTCATAAAAAGACAAAGAATATTTTTGCAGTTTACGAAGAGCTAACTAATGTCATGGACATGCAATCTTACCTGGATATTCTATAATAAACGTTATCCAGTAGAAAAGTCCTGCTTTAGGTACAGTAGGTATGTCTTCAAACACCGTTTCATCTCCATTATTGACTCTTTTACAGATATCTGTTGCTAGTCCAGCGTAAGGCCTGAGGGGTGAAACTTCCATATGCACCTGATCACCCATCTCCTTGAACATTGGCAAATGAAATGACAGCCTATCTATTTCATCGGGATTTTCTGCTTTCATAACTGGGAACAGATTAAAATTTCGCGACTACGTTCATTCATTAAAATTTTAAATTGAAATTAACTTTCCTCAGGAAGTTTCTCTTCTTCACTTACCACAAAATACTTTGCGCTCTCCAACCAACTGAAAGGATTAAACGAAACAGTCACTTACATTATGAGATTACAAAATTTTAATCTTTTGTTTACTTCAAATGGCAAAAAGGAGAGATGAAATATAGTGTTATGTACCCATGTCATGAATTACTTTTTTAGACAAATCTTTATAATTTGCTTCGCATTCTTTTGCGAATAGAAATATCATGGTTACGCTAATCGCTAGGGAATCAGTTGATATCCCTAGACTGATACCTTAAACTGTCTCTTTTAACCGAGAAGCTAGGGAAACCGATATCTGCCCGATATCTACGGATCATGGTTTTGCCAATGACACTCTAACTCTTCTTTGACGTGCTCAATTGAACAAGTCAGGATGTGCAATGGCTTGTTCTGACTGATATTGTTTGATCAAACTTGGTTCACGCTTATGACACGACTTACGCCTACATAATTTTGGTTTGATGGACACATTCAGATCTTATTGTTAACTTATTGTTCAAGTAGTACTTTCTTCATCAAAAGTTTTGTAATTCCTTGGCACAGAGAGGCGTTTTTCATGTCCAGCGATTCATTGTAAGCTGCTCGTTCCAGAGACTATAAAACTTAATTGCCCCAAACTTGTATAGACCTAAGGTTTTGGAAGGTCTAAGTTATCTCTCTTATAATAAATTAGTTGACATCAATACGGCGAATCAACTGTAAACTTAAGGTCTTTTGGGGAATCTTTGAAAAATAGCAACCGGTCAGTGGCTAAAAACATATTCTTACTTTCCATATCTGTAGTATTTTTCCTTTTTCTTTTGCTTTTAGAGCAACTTCTGCTTCTGCTGCCCAGTTTTGATAAACTGTTCTTGTGGTATTCGTTTGTACTCAATGGTAAACTTTATGAAGTACAATAAGCTCATGTTAGCAGGCGCCGCACCAAATGCTATTGAACGTAAGACCACCACTTTTGTCAGGAACGTCAGTCTCTAAGCCTTCTTGTTGTTACCTTGACGTCAGTTTTGTTCCTAAAATTCCCTTGATATATACTGCGACTGCAATTGTTTCTCATGCAAAAAAGGTTAATGCATGCAAATTATGCAAATTAAGTTGACAACCCCTGTAGTAAATATTTGTTAGCACGAACTGTTCACCAATGAATTTTTCCGTATTTAGCGTCATTAGTAATTAGATTGACACATAGATCGTCGCTTTGCTCATGTTCTCCCAACATCCCGCTTGGCTTTATCACGTTATAGAGCCCGGAAACTTAAATAACCCTATTGATCTACGTTGGAGGTATCTGGCTCTTAACGCCTCCAGAATCCTCCAAATATTTGGTCTTTGTTTCTCTCCAACCATCCCAGACGAGAGGGAATGATTAAGATTTAGGATTAGAATTGGCTTTCGAAATCTGGAACGGTCTGGAAAGCAGCAGCGAAATTCCATCCTTTGGAAGTTTGCCTTCAAACGAAAATCTGCTTACAATTGATAGCTATAAGAGATCAAAAGGATCTCTTGATAGATGTCAGCTTTAAGTGCTCTCGTTCCCAGTACCTCGCTCCATCCCATCTCCTGTGCCCACAGATATGCCCTTTTTTAAGAGGAATTGTAGAATTTGAGGGTCACTAATATTCCAACAGCTAATCTTATCATCATACCAAAACTTTTTTTTTCTCGTATATCAAACAATTGAAACAACTACAGCGCGAAATTTGCAATTTGTGCTCGATTTATTTGAAATCTGCTAATTTTTTTCGTATTCCTACCTTGAAATTCATCTAAAATCGTTGGCAATTTTTTGTTGCTACATGCAAATGAATTCTTCACTTGAAGTCTTAAATGTGTTAATACTACTATCTAAAGTAACTTAGAACTCTGACTTTTTCTTGATAGTTTTAATACATCATTAACTACGATCAATTTTGGATTCAGCACGAGAGGGGTTTACAGTCCAACGTTTCTAGATGCTCCTTAGGCCTATTCTGCTAGCTTTTGTAGATCTGCGGCCCATTCTTCTACTGGCCGTATCGACTTGCAATCTATACGGACTTTGCTTCCCATCTTTTTCATGATTGGCAGGTCCAGTGACATTCTGTCAACATCAGTCGGATCATCCACACAGACAACGGCTATAACCTGCAACACACATCATATGCAACATTTGACGATATTTTGATGATTGTCCAAGTGCGTTAAACAGAGTTATTTAACAAGGAAAGAGGGGAATTGGTACATGGTTCCATACTTATGCACATAAATAGTACAGCAGCAAGTAAAATGTACCTAATGCGGCCTTAATGTTTATGGGGGCGTGATTATACTGCCAGTATGTGTCCGAAGTCAAATACTGTGATGTTTTCTGGAGCCGACACTATATACACACCCGATAAAACCATCATGAAACTGCATGGCTGAATGGGTTGTTCGCGCTATGCAGACAGCATGGGGCATTATCAAACAACCACAAGTGAAAATAATGGATTCGGTAAGACGTTTGATTAAGTGCATACTAAGTCTATCTGACCGAACCGAGATGCAGGCGCCCGCATAGTGTGATATTAGTTGAAAGTGATTAGTACCTTACGTTCTGCTACCACTTTCCATAAGTCTAGAATGATTCCAGACTTTTTTGCCTTGAGAGCCTCTTTAGCTTCCTCAGCCCAGACAGCAAACAGGTCTTGTTGTGTCATGGCTTTTAAAGGATGAAATGAAATGAGATGAAGAAGGGATTGAAGAATTGATGAAGAGGATCTGTCTGATTCAGATAAAGCCTTAAATGTAGCTCGAACCTAAACAGGTGACCCAGATAACTGAAATGCGCGCTACTATGAAACAAAATCTGCCTGCCCATTTCAGACATTGCAGCAATCCTCTCACCAACCCAACGAGCTGAGTTTAAATACAGTTTATCTCTACATTCGGCGCTCTCATAACGTGTTTCCAAATCGTCTTCGATTTATATATCTCATCAATATCTATATAATAAACAGAACATTGCAAGTCTGCTGGTGGTACGGATTTATCTCGAATTGATTATATCCCTCACTCGTTCTCCTCGTACACACGACAGAGAGAGAATTTCAACACTCAGGATAAAACAAAAACTGTCCTCTATATCACATATATCTTACTAGGGTCGTATTCCACAGTAAACGTCAGAATGTAGAAGAGCCCCTTCTTTAAGATGGACTTTTCATCCCCGTAATTTTCTCCGTTCCCAACTCTCTCGCTCACATCTGACGCAAATCCTTCGTATTGTCTCAACGGGGTAAATGTCGAGTGCAACTGATCTCCGAGGGCCTGGTAAAGAGGTAGCTCGACAAAGCACGTGTCCAGTACTGAGGGTGACTCCACTGACATCACTAAATGAAAAACAGAAGGCGTAAGAATGAAGTTAGAGTCAGTTCTTGTCTTCCGTTTTTATTGCTGTTTCATCAGAATGTAGGAATGGAAGATGCGGCAATAAAGTAAGAAGCTCTCAGAGCAAACTGACTTTTTTCACCATTTCATTCGCTAATCATGTTCGGCTTCGGCAGGAAGTAAACAAGCTAGGGAGACCAGATAGGCAAGAGAGGGGAGAGAGGAGAGAGAGGGGAGAAATGGGAGAGAGGGGAGAGAGGGGAGTGAGGGGAGAGAGGGGAGAGAGGGGAGACCAGATAGGCAAGAGAGGGGAGAGAGGGGAGAGAGGGGAGAGAGGGAGTTGTTTTCTTTGTCAACCCTTTTCCGCACAGTTTGGGTGGCGTTTTTAAACTCTTTTGGGAACAAAATCAGTGACGCTACGAACTCCGGGAAAAACTAAAAGAAATTTTCCAATTCATATTAAAGAATACATTTACTGGTGAAATAGCTGTGAGGAATGGAGAGATAGATATGAGAGGCCCGTCACCATATACACTAATGAGCCCCTCGCTGCGATTATTCATCGCTAATTCCAGATGGATAGCATTGTCACACAATATTGAGCATCCAGGTCCTTTTCTTTGTTATATAAGACATGAAAACCGTTTATCTAATTAAGATCTTATTACCTCCAAGAACTTTTCTTTCTCCAGCTATCTATAACGTGAAGAGACGGAAATGAATGAAAAACTAACTAAGCTATTAGAGACATCATTTAGCACTATTAGAACTACTTTCCGATTCACTATTGGGGTGGAAACAAGGGATTATTTTGATAGGGAGTCGAAACTTTGATTCTGAAGACATGTACGTTGTTTTTTTCGCATTATAACTCGAAAAAAGATAATAATTTGCAAATGCTTCCAGTGTGCCAAAGAACTTGCGGGTAGCCGATGAAAACGCGTTTGTTCGAGATTAAGCACTGCGCTAGGACGGTTCGAAATGGGTTCGAAATTCGGTTGGAAATTCACGTGTTACATAATCGTGTGCGTTTAAGTAAATTTTAAAAAGGAGGACACTTTGTGAAACCTCTTGTCAAACGGGGGGGATATACCCGAGCCTTGGTGGGGGAGGGAAATCAGGTAAATTTTATCATGACAGATCTAAAATCCTTCGACCCTCCCCTCCGGGGATAAATAATGACCAGTTCCTTAACTTGATCAGTTGACAAAGTGGCTCTTCTCTAATTACATAAATTAAATGGCGTATACGTACCCTCTTCGCCCCTACAAGTTTGGTGACTGGTCGTCAATTATCACATATAATGTTGTGCGTGAGCAATCTCAAAGCTACAAACCACGTTCTTGACCTTTCCGCTCTCAAAATAACTTTTCCGTACATGAAATACTTGGAAACCTCACAAACATGAAATAGCCATGTCCATTTAGCTCAGTGGCGAAACGGAGAATGGTTGAAAGTAACCCAGTTTCAGTTAATCAAAAAAAAAAAAAAACACCTTCGGAAAAATTTTTTGCTTCGTGCCTGCGCGACACTTTTGGGTTGTGGCTCAGATGTTAATCTATCTATTGTCACTTGAAGCGCGGGGATAGATTGATATCTGACAAATTCACTAAACTTTGGCGTCTCGCAGTCCGCAGTATGGCAAGTGGTACGGAACAGAGACATTCACGAGGCTTTCTTCAAAATGGCTTCTGCCAGTAGCAGGAGCTTCCTCTCATTGTCACTACTTCATCTCTCCATTCTAGAATTTTTTTGATACCCACCCTAAGGTTAAAAAGCTCCCTCGCGAGCAGATAAGAGTCTTCTGAGCCCGCGAATTGTTTTCAGTGGAACAGAGACCTCGGCATTTATACAGACACGAAATGATTCTCACAAAGTTGTCTCATATAAATAATAAATAATAGTGATAATACATAATTTAGCAATGGACATATATGTCAAGAAGCTACACATTCAGCGGCAATTTTTTCCATTCTTACCAAAAACAAAGGCAGAAAGGCTCGAACCTGCCCCTCTTGTTTGATGCTTAAGGTACATTCCACACATACTTGAAAATTATAATTCAGTTTTTCTGAGTAATCTCGCGGTGAATATTTGGTTCATGGTTGCTATTGTCTCTTATCGCCCGGTTGTGTCTGCTGACACACGCTGATTCATAGCTTATCGTCTGGGCAATACAGGTGTAACGAAATTTTAAAATAAGATATGTAAATCCAATTTTACTGTGGCCCAAACAAAGATTTATAGGCATAAATGTTGCTACGATCAAGTTTAAACGTATTCCATAACAGTGTCCGTTTATATTGAGAATACTTCTTCTTTTGTCACGAGAATATTTCGAGAGTAGCATCTACAGACCCTGATGAAATAAGATCCTTTATGTTGAGATATCAAGAATGCAGTTTCTTTCAGTTAATCCCTTAAGCTTAATGTGCTATAGCATAATCGGCGTGTAAAGCGAGTATCAACTGGTATTATGTTTATAAATCGTAGTCTGTTCCTACCTTGAAGGCGTATTTCATAATACCTTGTTCGTACATCTTAAAAGCAGCTTGAGCGTGCTTAAACCATAGTTGATAAAGCTCTTTCGTAGTTATCCCATGGTACTCGAGGCTTGTTTGAAAGAAATATAACAGCGACATTGTGACTTCTTGCTGAACGGAAATGGAAGATCGTCTACGACCTGAAATATTCTTAATTCCACGAATCGACTGGTCCTAGGAAGGCGATTAATGTGGGTAATTTATCTGGTGGGTTCCTAGTTTGTCAGCCAATGCTTTTAGGAATGGTTTAGTTCATATAGCTACGGGGTAATGGGTTAAGTCATGGTTAGGAAGTACACAAATTGCATTATTTTCGATGCTGAGATTCGATTGGTTAAAACGTAAATGTCTTATATCATTGCGTCTTTTGTTGGTTCTCTTATTAAGAGGTATTCAGCTCATTTTGGCAGCCATCGGATGTTATCTTAAACTTCCTATCCTTAAACTGTGAGCTTAATCCCTCAAAGAAATTATATTTCAATTTTTGAGAACTTCTCAATGGCCTTAAAAGTAGTAATATCAAAATATTTAGTTTGTGCGTTTTCAAAACAAAGACAAATTTTTTTTTTTTTTTTAATATCTGTTTTTATCTACCTATAATTAAGAATATATCTATGTCTGTTAAGATACTGTAGCGTCATGCTAAATATCACTCACTTTATTATATTGTCTTGGTCGGCCTAAGTTAATTGCTCTTGAATATAATATACCATGATTTTCTTTATTTTTGTCGGAAACAAAAACTTGTGAAAAGCCGTCTCAAGCAATATCAGTTCTAGTAATTTCGATGGATTATTGTTTCGTAAACCGAGGAAAGGTAACATTAAATGATACATAAGGATGGGTGTCTTTCATCCGGCAGTTGCGAAGTGCTTCATGATTATAGCCTCTTTCGGGTTTTTTATTAGAAGCTTAAGCCATTAATTGACCAAGTTTTGAGCGCGCAGCCGACTGTACCCGTGATGTCGGTTGCACAGAGGTTTGGAATGTGCAATTCATTCATTTTCCCACATGAAAAAAAGCAAATAAATATTATATTCTTTCGTGAACTGCGTCTGTTTGGTAAAAAATTTTGTATTGTAGCTTTTTCAAGCGATGCGGTGTTTTTGAATGTTGCGCTGTAATTGCACATACTTCTTTTAGCGTACCGCAATCGTCAGTGGTATAAACTTATTTAAAGGGGCGAGTCACAGAAGCGTTCGCGGTTTCTTTTAATTCTTCCCAATAAAGCACTTTGACTGACGAGACATTTGATAGCTAAAAATATAAATTTCTGTTTGCCAAAAGCTGTTCAGGTAAAGTATTTTGTATCTGAAAAAATAATAATATAGCTCGCGTGCATGATGTTACTAATAGCCATAGATCAATAGTTTGGCCAAGTTTTTATTTAAATTTAGGACATACTACAAATGCTTAAAATTCAGGAATTATCTCCTTGACCCAAAGGGCGCAACCTCGAGTAAGTGGAATTAAAATATATGTCATTTTTTTAGATGATTTTTTTTTGATAATTTTTTATTTATTTTTTTTTAACTTTGAATGCCTTAAGTCTTTTCTCATTTGTGTACGGTCCTTTAAATTCGTTTTCGTTTTGTTATCTTGATCCTAGAAGCAGTAAATTGAAATAAAAGATAACTGAATTTACGTAAACACTCCATATCATACCATTGTTTTTGCTTTGTATTGATCTCTGAGAACCTTTTATTTTTGTTATTGTGGAAATGAGTGATATTATCAGCCAAATCTGTTTCCGCTGAGCTTTCAAATTGAGTGGTCAAGAAATTACAACAACAACTGATATAGTTTTGAAGTCGCTTGTGTTTCTGCCTGATTTTAATTTGTTTTACTTCCAGTCGGCATGTTCGCTGACTACCTTTGTCGATATCTCCATAATTTGTGATCTTGATGCCAGTATTGATTTTATAGAGAAAGTTTAGACTTTTGATCTCCCCTGGTAATGATTCAATTATTTTTTTCTTTGTGGTATGCTTCGAATTAACCGAAAAAAGGAAAAGGAAATTAAAAACACATCTTAAAAAAGGAAAATTAAGGCTGAGGAAATATTGGATCATATTTTTGTGTTTATAGACATTAGGCTCAGCACATGAATGCGAGACAGAAAGGAAATATTCTTTCGTTGATTCCATTTTCAATTTTTAGGATTCTTTACCAATTTCTATTGTTCGTCTCCTCGAGACATGTACAAGAGGAAAAAATGGGGGAAAAAAATCAGTAAAAATGCAATTTTAATTTAAACTGCGCGTGTATATGTGTCTAAACTCGAGGCTTTCTGTCTAACTTTGAAAGTTGGACAGGAAACCTCGACTTCAGACACAGCTACAAGTACTCTGGCAGTGAATTTACCGAAAAAAAAAAACAACAACAAACCCGCTCATAATCAGCAAAATAAGTTCTACGCAGACCATTTGGAATGTTGGCCGCATCAGGTAACTGACTCTACAACAATGGCATTTACATTAAAACGATTGAATTGACTGTTATCGCTAAATTAAGTTCATTCATGGTGCTTCCGTCACGCTTGTTTCTAAAGCCACACTTCAGGAGTCGTTTGTAATTAACAAGGAATTCTTCCATACGGAAGCAATAGACCCACGGATTCATTGCAGAATTGCTTAAAGCCAGTGTCCTCGCCCAGTTGTATACTACTCCAACATTACTCTGGGCATAGGCACTGCGAAGGTACATTATTGGAATCCAACAAACTGTGAACACCACGACAACAACAGCCACCGTGACTGTCACGCGACGTTCAACCAATTGGGAGGCACTCTGTCTTGCGTGACTACGAACATTGTCACGATTCCAAACCTTCATGATAATTAATATGTAGCAGCAAATGATGGTCAAGTAACATACATCCTCGGAGACCCAGGAGCTGTGGGTCGATTTCAAGTTACGACATGAAGAGCCCCTGGGGACATTGTCTTACAAGACTAGTTCCAAACGGTCGCAGTCGTTCTGTCATCTGATTGGTGCCAGAAACTTTTTGTGTTTTTCTGCCCAATCAGAGTGAAGTGTACTTTAGAGTCCTTTCGTGTGTTTTAACACGGACATATACTAGTAGCTCAGTTGCTCGCTATGGTTGTTTGGACCGTGCGACGGAGATTTGCTTGAGGTGAAAAGTTTCAGTCTCAGCACACAGTGTACGCGAAATCGATCAGATTGTCCGCGAAAACTGACCGGAAATTATACAGAATACTTTCGCAGGTATCACTAGTACTAGAGAACGTGTTTTAAAGTTTGCGAGGTTTGTATACAACACGATGGTTGCAGTCATTGATGTGTCGCTTTAAACGTTAAACGAGATTTAAGCTTAAATCTTTCTAGACTTTTTGCATAATTTGCTGTGACTGAAACTTTGCCAATCCCGTGAAGTTATTTCGTCGCACGGGCCACGCTTTCGCCTTCGAAGCTTTCTGCTTTCTGTGCGCGCCAAAATCTAATCTTCGCTTTGTAGTAAAGTCGTTCGCAAAGGTTGCAGGAAACGTTAAGTTCGTGGACGACCTCCAGCAAGTGCTAAGAGAAAGCTTAGCTGTGTTTCCGGTTAGCTAATTAAAATCTGAACAAACACTTATTAACGAGAACATCGAGGGAAGGAGAGATGTTTTCGGGCAGTTACCGAAGGGGTTTGGAAAGAGTTTAATCTTTTAACTGCTGCCTAGAGTGTTGAAATTCTTGAGCTGGGAAGGCCACGGATTCTCTTCTAGTCCCTTGGTCATTGTCATCTCACCTCTTCTGTCGATTGTTGAAGACCAAGTTCAATACCTTCGATCATTGGGAATCGATCCGATGCTGTTTTCGATGGGAAAAACAAAACCAAAGACCAAGAAATATTGGACGGAAAGGGCGGGTTTGCTTTATTGCAAATGTCAGCTTAGTTGTACAGGGTCATCTACCCACATCTAATAAGCAAAAGTTTCTACGCTTAGCTTTTCTTTTTTTTTCAAGCGAAGATGAGATTAGATTTTGGCACGTACAGAAAGTTGCGCAAGTACCAGTTGTTCGACATACCTGCGTGGCCCGTGCGACGAAATAACTTTACGGGATTGGCAAAGTTTCAGTCACAGCAAATTATGCAAAAAATCTAGAAAGATTTAAGCTTAACTCTCGTTTAACGTCTAAAGCGACATATCAATGACTGCAACCATCGTGTTGTATACAAACCTCGCAAACTTTAAAACACGTTCTCTAGTACTAGTGATACCTGCGAAAGTATTCAGTATAATTTCCGGTAAGATTTCGGACAATCTGATCGATTTCTCTCACATTGTGTGCTGAGACTGAAAATTTTCACCTCAAGCAAATCTCCGTCGCACGGTCCAAACAACCATAGCGAGCAACTGAGCTTCTAGTATATGTCCGTGTTAAAACACACGAAAGGACTCTAAAGCACACTTCTCTCTGATTGGGCAGAAAAACACAAAGATTTTCTGGCACCAATCAGATGGCAGAACGACTGCGACCGTTTGGAACTAGTCTTGTAAGACAATGTCCCCAGGGGCTCTTCATGTCCTAACTTGAAATCGACCCACAGCCCCTGGGTCTCCGAGGATGAGTAACATATGGCAGCGGCAAAGACGGTAAAATAGGACGTTGCTTTCTTGCTCACTGTTAATCGCAAAAGACTATAAATAACCGGAAAAATCCAAACGATAAGCAACGCTAACTTAAACCTCTTCACAGTTCGGATTGCTTTACTTTGAACTGGTGGGACGATAAGGAGACAGCGATCGATACTGATAAAACACAAGTGAAGAATTGAAGCTGAACACGACATATTTCCCACAAGACGAAATGCTTCGGACACCACCTCGTTGCATTCGTGGTTCACATGAAGCCCCCAGAATGCTATGAGCAGTGGCTGACCCAAGGCAGTGACCATCAAATCGGCCACAGCCATACTCGCCAACCAGAAGTTGGAAATAATCTGTAAGCTCTTGTTGGTATAAACTGTGGCGATCACCAAAGAATTTCCGATGGTTCCGACGATACTTGATAAAATGTTAATTGGAATTAACGCAATTACGTGAGAAACTGGAAGAAGGCAATCATCAAAATGAAATTCATTCGAAGAAAGATTCATGACGCGAATGATAGTTGTCTTTCCACACGCCTTCGCTCAAGTTCCTCAACAACTGTAATAACAGCTCAAAGCAAGGCGTGTAGGACCGTAGGAATTGTAACAAGAAATATTTTGTCTTCCGTTCCTTTGATTTACGTCAATACAGGGCGAAATTGTGTTAGAATCAATCAAGAGTTTAAACTGCAACGAATGAAAGCGAAAATGCTGAAACGTGCTTTAGCACAGAGCTGCTGCATCTGTGACGTCACAGGGGTTGCTGAAAATTACTTTCCAGTAGATATCGTACATTTTTGCTTTCCAGTGCTTTATTAACTAGTCAGCTTGAAGGTTTCTGTTTCTTTTTTCTTTTTTTTCTTTTTTTTTAATCCTAATCAACTGGTGCTTTATTTGTTTTTTTTTTTTTTTTCGTTTTCTGAACTTGCCAGAAGAAAGCTCTAAGTGCATTGATGTGCGTCACTTCATGGTTCAATTTAATCAATCGTTAAATTTCACAAACCACGAGCTCTTTACCTCCTGTTAAAACATGAAAGTTTATGTCGCTTTGCCTCCGCCTACCTCTCCCTTCCTTAGAAAAACAAAAACAAAACAAAGCAGATAAGAGACGAACACAAAAGAAAACAAAGAAAAGAAAAAAAAAAAAAGGAAGGGAATTTTTTTTAGCAATATGAAACTGATTAGGCACCTTATCTACACGTTTTTATCATTCGCTCCTAGTTTCATTTGTATCATTGAGGTACAAACGTGAAATCAGTATAAGAAAGTCATGGTAGTGTGAAGAATGTTTCATACATGAACTCAGTTTAATAACAAAGCCACGTGAATCTCCTAAAAGCGCCCCCTCCCCCCCCCCCCATAGAGCCTCAGGGGCACTATTCTCAATGATAGCGGTTTCGCTCCTGTTGAAATGATCAGGTTTGTCTTAAATGCATTGTTCAATTGTACACTATCCTACTCTGTCATTTGGGGGTTACTACAAGACAATTTTGTTTTATTAACTGAGCTGATGACGTTAATCGGTTAACTTTAGCTGACGTTTCGAACTTTACCTCTTCGACAGAGCGAATGAGGAAGGGGTATTACTCTTAAAATTTCAGCTTTAGCAACTCTGTACGGTGGCCAATTTACGTCATCAACCCAGGCTACATATAGGAATAGCTTTTGGAAAATTTCTCTCCACTGGACTCAAAGGCAGAGTCTACGTATCTTGTTTTCATGATTCATTTGCCAAATGCCTTGGCATTGCTCACGAAATGAAGGGACGCATCAAGCTGGTAAACTTCGACCGAGAAAAGAGAACCCGCAAAAATATTAATCCTAAAAAAATTCTGCTCACTGATGAAAAACCCAAACCAGAGGATAGATCTAAGTACTTTATAGCAATTTTTTTCCTATTCATTTTCGTCTTAATAAATGCAATTCAGGTTAACAAATCAAACATTTGTAATTCGTAACATTACACGAGCAAGATTAAAGTTGTTGTCATAGCTTTGCTCGATAAGTGACAAGCCTCTGCGAAATGGCCTCAAATTAATTATGTTCTTGTATTCAGTTATTGTCTTTGGTCTGTTAGATCAGCGTATATCATTCAATTTAAATTAAGTTGAATCTCTAGACTTTGGGATAGTGTAATGGATATATATAGTATCGTGAGAAAAGAACACATGACAAACAGACTGACTAATCTAGATAAAACTTCAAAGGCCGGCTTCAGACGACCCCCTTCAGGGTTTTTGACCTTATTATGGACAGAATCGTGCTGTTATCCTGTTTTGAAAATCAAAAGTATGAGTAGAACGCCTTGCATTTTTTTCGCGCCAGGAACCGAAAACAGTTACATCTCGCCTCAACAGTCTTAAAAGTTCTGTGACGTAAACCATAAATGGAATTAATCATCTGAAATGCTGTAAATTTTCCTGTAGCATTTGTTTGCCAACATGAACCATTCACCAAAAGACAACTGCTTGCAGATCATGATATAATGTACCCAAATCCACCTTCTAGAGTTTCTGATTCTTTAGCTCAGTTTCTCGGAAGCAGTGGAGTACTTGGGGCGTACACAAACGTACGAACGATCGCGTTCGAACGATCGCTTTTGGAACAACTCGCTGAGAGCCTTGGAAGCGTAAGCAAAGGCACCATAGTCCATATGGAGGTCCTCAGGATGGTTTTTCTCCCGGCTTTTACGCTCTCAATCTTGAATTTCCTCCTTCTGTTTGCGTCTCCTACCCATGCCAAACTGTCTGCAGAATGCACTTTCGCGGAAATGATGGCGGTGAAGACTAGTCAAAACGTAACAGCTCAACCACTGAAATTCAGTGGAGAACTCCCTTCCTCAAGAAACCTGAGTCACAACTGTCTTGTAAAGACGAATGATGCAAATCAACTGATGTATTTGAGAGCCAAAAGAGCTGAATGGTCCATTGAAGGTGAGGTAACAAACTTCTTCCTTTCCCAGAAGTAGCAGAAAAACCTTCGTCAGCTTCAACTTTAAATAAGGGATCATAAGCAGTCAGGACAACAGCGTCGATGGAAGACCCCGATTAGAAACTGAATTTGACAAATGGTAAACACCACAGGGTAAACACCACTATTGAGTTATGGATGCACGCGGGAGGTTGCTAAGTACGAAAGAAGCGTAAGAGTCGCTCGAGGCGATAGCCGAGAGCGACTCTAGCTTCTTGAGTGCTTAGCAAACCTCCCAAGTGCATCCATAACTCAATAGTGTACGCTGTGGTGTTTACCATTTGTTTTATAACATAACATTGATACATTGTAGCTAAAGAGTTCCCTTTTATTTAACAAATCTTACGCGACCAGAAAAAACAAGCGCGCGCGGAAAAATAGTCTTTGCATTTGCTCACGTCAGCAGCGTACACCCATGGGCAAATGGGGGACGCTAAATTGACCAATCAGAGCGCGCGCTTTACTTTGGTTATGTTATAAT